CTAAATAAAAAGGAAGGGTTTAGGGATGGAGTGTGACTAGTTGAGAGGATATACTCAGCAAAGATGTGCTTTCATTGGAGGGAGGTCTTTTCTCCTGAGGCCTGTGATGCCATCATGTGCATTGGCCTCTCTGCTTTTTCAATGGCTTGTGTAGAGATTTAGAAGGTGATGGCCTGTGGATAAAGACCCAAAGCTGGGAAGCCATAGAGGATCTAAAGAACATGGATGCTCTTGGGCTCTACAAAGACCTTCCCGTTGGGCATGGGAGGAAGAGGATGAAGGGTGTGTTCGAGAATGGAGAGTGGGGAGGATTCTGGACAACCCATCCATGCCAGTCATGTCAACAGGATGGCTTTTTCTGAATCTCTGTTCCTACACATTGAGTTTCTAATTTAGATTACAGTTGGTATTTGTGGAAAGTACCCCACTACTTTAAAAAAAAAAAAAAAGGGAAAGAAGAGAAAAAAAAAAAAAAGAAACCTTGAAAATTACTTACCTAATCCAGCTTCTGGCTTGAGTAGATTTCCCTGACTTCTTAATTCCCTTCTAATATCATTATCTCTTAATTTATCAATGTTGGATCAAGGCCAGCCCGATAAAATGTAATGGGGGTACATTTAAGTATCAAAAAAATTTGTTGCATTTAAGTTAAAAAAAATCAATAATAGAAGGGAGAATACCTGATTTGACAGCAATTCTAATGAAAAGGAATTTAATATAGGCCAACAGTATACCTACTACTCCCCTCCAAATGCTCCAGATGCCTTGGGCTATGACAAAGTGGGATTTACGAGATCATACCGTGTGTCACTTTGTCCCCTCATTGTGTTCTCTGCTTTCCTCTGCTGAATCCCTTTTCCACCTCAAGTCTTCACCTTAGGGATCCTCATCTGCCCTGGACCAGCTCTTTGTAGAATCATCTTTGATACCATTAGCGCGATCTGCTCTCCCTTTCTTTTGATACTTAACACATTCCACCTTACTCTAGAGTTATTTAATTTTTAAAATGGCTGTGCAAACTCCATGACAAACCATTCAGCTAACCATTATGATAGTCATGCTCCCTGCTCCCAAATTAATTTCTCTTGTGTTACAAGTTTTCTGCAAACATTGGTTGAATAAACAAAGAACAGCATCTGGTTACTACTGCTTAAAAGAGAACTGGTCACATTTATGAAAATGCCCACAGGAGGTACTTATCCTTCTGTTCTTCAGTCTGGTACTGGCTGACTTAGACTCTGATGTCCCACCACAAGCACCATATTTGACGAGAAATGCAGAGAGACTATGGGGACACAGAAGAGAGAGATGGGGATGGAGGGTACTCTTGCAAATGGTTGAAAACAGTTGGGCATATTCATCTTGAAAGAGGAAAAAACAGGTAGTCAGATAGTTGGCTCCCCAAGTTTGAAAGGCTGACCTCTCATAAAGGAGGGAGACTCTGTTTTCCTTGGTGGCAGGGAAATAACCAGGTCCCTTTGGAGAGGCCCTGTGGAACCGTTTGGCAGTGGAGGTGGCTGGGGCCTATGGCTGTCAACAAGCAAGGATCAGCGTGATTCAGATGTTCAGTCAGTAAGTGGGCCTCCTCCTTTTGTCAGAAAGCACCAGAGCAGTGGTTCCAAATCTTATTGATCCTCACAATCACCTGGGGACTTTAAAATACACATTCCCAGGCACCACCCCTGGAGACTCAGTGTCAGTAGGTCTGGAGGTGGAAATGAGGGATCCACAAGGGAAACAGTCCACTAGCCCAAGAGCCACAGGACAGGAGGACCGCGCTGTATTAATTTGAGAGAGAGAAGGCAGAGTGAGCAGGAGAGAACATGAATGGGGGGAAGGAGGGGCAGAGGCAGAGGGAAAAGCAGGCTCCCTGCTGAGCAGGGAGTCCCAATGGGGCTCAGTCCCAGAACCCTGAGATCATGACCTGAGCTGAAGGCAGACTCTTAACCAACTGCGCCACCCAGGATCCCATGGCCCATTGCTTTTAAGGTAGTGGTCTCTCTGGAGCAGAATTCTTAACATCCTCTTCAGCTGGGGTAGAAGGGGGTGTCTCTTTGCTTACATCACTTGGAAAACTGATTGAGAAAGCTCAGGAGATAGTCTGACAAGGCCAAGAGGTCTGTTCTTTCTACAAAAGAGATCCATGGAGAGTTCCTCTAATGTCAATAATTAATAGTTGACATGTGACCCAGCAATTTCACTCTTAGTCAAATATCCGAGAGAAATGAAAACATATGTCCAACAAAAACCTATTCTTGAGTCTTCATAGCCCTGTTATTCATAATATCCAGAAGGTGGAGACAATCGTATCACCATCAAGTGCTGAATAAATAAGTAAAATGCAATATACCCGTACAGTGGAATGTTGCTTGACAATAAAAAGGAACAAAGTACTAAAATGTGCTACAGCATGGATGAACCTTGGAAACATTACGCTAAAGTGAGAAAAGCTAGACACGAAAGGCCACATGATGTATGATTCCGTCTATGTGAACTGTCCAGATTAGGCAAATCTATAGAAACACAAAGTAGATTGGTGGCTGCCGTGAGGTGGGGAGAAGGAAAGGGACTGCTAACGGGTACAATAAATTCTGGGGAGTGATGAAAATGTTCCAAATTTAGACTGTGGTGATGGTTGCACCATTCTGTGAATATATTAAAAACTGTTGAATTGAAGACTAAGTAGGTGAATATTTAGATATTTCAATTCTATCTCAATAAGGATGTTTTTTAAAAGTGGTGCTTATAATTGAAGGCATTTTAGAAAATGCAAATAAGGAAAAGAAAGCAAAGACCCTACTCTCATCATCACTGAGAAAGGAGCCACCTAACAATGTAACATCTTGGTATATTTTCTTCTAGACATTCTGTCTATATTTGCATATTTGGGATCATACTGTTCATACTGTTTCTACTTCATCCATATAAATGGGTGTAAAGTATTTCTGGGTGTGAGCAATCATATTTTAATTTACTTCATTAGTTTTCTGTCGGTGGATTTTAGGGGATTTCCATTTTCTTGTGCTTGTAAACCATGATTATTTTTTTAAGAGAGGGAGAGAGAGAAGAACAGGGGGAGAAGGAGAAAGAGAGAATCCTAAGCAGGCTCCACGTCCAGCATGGTGCCTGTTGTGGAACTCGATCTCACAACCCTGAAATCATGACCTGAGCCAAAATCAAGAGTCAGGCATTCAACCGACTGAGACACCCAGGTGTCCCAACCGTGAATATTCTTTAGCTTTTATCATTATACTTCATATTACTTTTTGATTTAAAGGTCCATACTTCTTTAAGATAGCCAATTTATTTTTATCCCACTAAAACAAAAGTTACTTTTTATTTTACCTTGAAAGTTTTTGCTAGTGTTCAGAAGGGGACATTGGGCAAGAAGGTAAAGGTCAAGGCTCATCCAGAAGTACTGCCCCCTTCAGACTTCATTGGGCCAGGAGATTCTGTGGAGCCACCTTCCCCTATGGGGACAAAATACCTTTGAAAGAAGCAGATAGACTTGTCTCTATTAAATCGTAGTTGGCTGTTTTGTTTTCTAGTCTGTATCAGTTTTTGCTGTGTAGCAAACCATTCCAATCTTCATAGCTCCCAACAGCTATTTACTTAGCTCAGGATTCTTTGGGTCCACTTAGGACCCAAAAGGTGCTCCACTCTGGAGCACCTTTGCTGATCTCTCCTGGGCTTTCTCATGCCTCAGCTGATATCTGGGTGGCCCAGAGTGGCCTCGCTCTCATGGTCAGTGGTTGGCTGGCTATTGGCTGGAGCGACGGGGTCTTGCATCTCTTAACACCCAGAAGGTTAGCCAGGCTTCTTCACACGATTCCAGTTACAGCGTTCCCAAGAGCCCCAGTGTGCTAGCTTATTTCATGCCTTGGTTTGCCTCACATTTGTTAATATACCATTGTCCAAAGAAAGTCACAAACCCAAGTTCAGGTTCAAGAGCTGAGGAAATAAATGCTGTCTTCTGGTCAACAGTCAGCAACACGCTGTGTGGCACAGGTGTAGGGAACAGAAGCATTGGTATGTGGCCAGTTAATAATTTACCAGGTAATTTTTGCTAAAACATCCAGTGGCCTTAATGGTTGGTGACCAGCATGTGACACTGTACATTTAATTTTCATACAAGGATCTACTTCCAGCTTCCATATACAGAACACCCAGGAGAATAGTATCACACCCTTCTGGCAGATTAACTGACATTTTTTTTTAATTTTTTATTTTTTATAAACATATAAGGTATTTTTATCCCCAGGGGTACAAGTCTGTGAATCGCTAGGTTTACACGCTTCACAGCACTCACCATAGCACATACCCTCCCCAATGTCCATAACCCCACCTCCCCACCCCCCCAACCCCCCTCCCCCCATCAACCCTCTTTTGTGAGATTAAGAGTCACTTATGGTTTGTCTCCCTCCCAGTCCCATCTTGTTTCATTTATTCTTCTCCTACCCCCTTAACCCCCCATGTTGCATCTCTACTTCCTCATATCAGGGAGATCATATGATAGTTGTCTTTCTCCGATTGACTTATTTCACTAAGCATGATACCCTCTAGTTCCATCCACGTCGTCGCAAATGGCAAGATTTTATTTCTTTTGATGACTGCATAGTATTCCATTGTGTATATATACTACCCTATGACCCAGCAATTGCACTACTGGGTATTTACCCTAAAGATACAAACAGTGATCCGAAGGGGCACGTGCACCTGAATGTTTATAACAGCAATGTCTACAATAGCCAAACTATGGAAAGAACCTAGATGTCCATCAACAGATGGATAACTGACATTTTTTAACGGTAAACTCATGTCTCATCAATGTTGAATGTGATTTACAGCAATTTTTATAAGACTTGAAGAATATAGGACAGCAACATCAGAACCCACCCCAAAAATGCAGTGGCAGGTGCATTCATTCATGGACTCAGCAACTCTTCATTGAGCACTCAACTTGAGCCAGACGCTTCCCCAGGTGCTTGGGATTCCTCAGCAATGGAACAAATAAAATCCTTTGTGGAGATTGCGTTCCTGTGAAGGAAAGGGCAATCAATAGGTAAACAAATCCGTGCCAAGTAATGATTAATAAGATGAAGTGAGAAGGCAGGAGACGGTGAGAGGGGGATTTTTTTAGAGGACACCAAGTAGAGTTGGCCAGTCTCTCTGAGATCATTTTCATTTTTTTGACTTTGTTTGGTTCTTCATCTTCTCATCCTCTGGTGAGTCATTGTGAAGATGCTGATGGGAACCCAAGAGGGCTGTTACAGGCTTTGGTGGATTTATCTCTAGGTTGTAGAGGAGCAGGGAACCAGAGAGAATGGAAGGACTCATGGGCTTAGGGTACTGAACAGTCAAGGTTCTGACGTGTCCTGAAGGCTGGATGTTTTTCTTGGATGCTCTATTAGAAGTCCACTTACCAGGAGCAGCGTCCTCAGAGGACATGCTACAGGATTCGTGCAACATAATTTAGCCTGAGGGAGAAGGGAGCTCAGAGAGACAGCTGGGTTGGACTCGTGGTAACCATAGCAACAAGAGGCTGACAATTGGGTCACCAGGAAGAGAAAATTGACTGAAGAGAGTATTGACCGAATGCCAAAGTGGGACTGTGGCACCTTAAATTCACCAGGTGGAGAAAGTCAGGGAGAGAAAATCTGTTGTGTTGAGCTTTGCACAGCATCAAGGTCTTACCCACTTTCTTTTCAGAGTGAACCCAAGGCTGATGTAGCCCAACACACCAAGACACCCAGCTTTCTTTATCTCTGTTTGTTGCTAGTTTGCACAGCAACAGTGGAATAATCCTTTCCTTCCCTTTCCTCTTCTAAGATTTTGAACCAACCTTTGTTCAGGACCATCTTTTAGCCCTTTACCTCCATCTTCTAACCCCCCAGAGTTAGCATTTTATGATTATTGGTAAGGTGTCAGGACTCTACTGTAGAGGAAGGTGGTAATTCTGATATAGTCTTAAAAGTTCTAGAGTTTTTGCGGGGCCTGGGTGGCTCAGTCAGTTAAGTGTCTGACTCTTGATTTTACCTCAGGTCATGATCTCAGGATCTTGAGATCATGCCCCGTGTAGGGCTCTGTGCTGGGGGTGGGGCCTGCTTAAGATTCTCTCTCCCTCTGCCCCTCCCCCTCAAAAAAATAAAATAAAATAATTTTTTAAAAAGTTCTAGGGTTTGGGGGGCACCTGAGTGGCTCAGTCAGTTAAGCATCTGACTTCAGCTTAGCTTGTGATCCCAGGGTCCCGCATCAAGGTCCCTGTTCAGCGGAGAGTCTGCTTGTCCCTCTGACCCTCCCTGCCACTTCGTGCTCTCTCTCTCTCTCATTCTCTCTGAAATAAATAAAATCTTTAAAAAAAAAAAAAAAAAGTTCTAGGGTTTTTGCAGACAAACTTTCCAGTCCCCAAAACTCCTAAGTAAATACTTATAATTATATCCTGTTATTATATCCAGGAAACCTCTTTTTAAATCCTCTCTTTTCCAGGTAGTTGATAAGGTGACAAAAATAAAAAAGGTTCGAAAATGATCCTCCATCCACCTCAAATTGTCTAAAGAGGGAGTAATAAAGTGGCAAATCCTATTTCCTCCCAGAAAGCCTAATTTCCTCGCTTATCAATGCAAGTGGGAGGGACTTGGCAAGTCCCTAGATAGAGAAAACGTGTCTTGTTTAATTGTTATCAAACAAAGCTGCTTCCAAGTCTGCTGGGGAGGACATGCTAGCCCCTGATGCATTCAGTATGTGTGTGAAATGTCAGCTTCTGGAGGATGTAAGCCCCATGCTGTGGCAGTATGGGGTCCCGCTGAGCAGCCAACAGGACGTAGCAGCTCTGAGCTGCTTAACTGTTTGCACTCGGAACTGTGGCCATGGATGTCCCCACTAATGGCCAAGGTTTGCCCAGGCATCACCCCCTAACCTCAAAACATGCAGCCTCATCACCTCCAGCATAATCCCTGAGCCCTATTGTGTAACATGCCTCCTGGGGTCTTGCCCCACCGGGGCAGGGGCATGTCAGCAGACAGCTCCGATAGCATGTATGGCCCGCCATCGCCTGCCACCCACCACCCCTTCCCGCCTTCAGAGAAACCCACGCGTACCAGGACCAGATCACCCTGCTCATCCAGGAGAGTGTTATCTTGCCCGTGCAGGTGGGGTTTTCCTGCCAGCTTGGCGTGCATGGTTCTTTAGGAGAAGCCAGAGCGGCGTCTCGAGCAGGGCTGCTCTTCCCCAGTGGGGGTTTTTATCTCTCCCTCCCAGGGTACCCGGGGTGGGGGGCGGGGGTGCCGTGCTGGGCCTCGTGGTGGGTTATCAGCAATTAGGCTTCAGGGCTCTGGGTGTAAAGTGAGGTCACAGAGTGGCTGGCAGGGAGGAAGTGAGGGCTGGGTGTGCCAGCCTCGAGTATGGTGAAAAATATGAAACTCTGAATTCCATTCAGTCGCAGCTCTTAAGTTTGGTTTCTCTCAAGTTAGACCAGGTGACTTTCATGACGGTCTTCCTTTGAGACATTGCATCTGGCTCTTCCTAGAGTAATAAGAACAGGGCAGTTAGCTTTTCCTGTGGAATAAAACAGCTAACCCTTAGCAAATTAAAATAACAACCCTTTATTATTGCTAATGAGTCCACAGATCAGCCAGGTGACTCTGCTGATCTGGCCTAGGCTTGACTCATCCCACCTGGGCCCGCACATAGGCCTCAGCGGCCGCTCACAGGCCCAAAATGGCATCTCTTAGACGTCTGCCATCCTCTGCCAGGCCAGCCTGGGCTTGTCCTCAGAGCATCAGCGGGGCTCCACGAGAGCAAGTGGAAGCAGCAAGGGCCCTCGAGGCACAGGTTCAGAACTCCCATAAGGTCACATCTACCTACCATATTCTGTGGGTCAGAGAAAATCACAAGGCCAGACTGGACTTAAGGGGTGGAGAAATGGACTCTCCCTCTTTATGCAGAGTTATGTTGTAAAGAGGCCTGGATACAGGGAGGCAATAATTGGGGCCATTTGTGCAAACAATGCATCTCAAACAGTAATAACGACAATCATTATTATTTTGTTGGGCTCTCAAAGTGCTCCAGAGCCGGTTACCTTTCTTGCATGGTGGAGAAAATCGGGCAAAGATGTGAATTAAGCAGCAGGGGTGGATAAAGAGTCTTGGGCTGGAAGTTTCTCTACATCGCCTGCATTTCATCTGCCCCCTTTTCTACATCTGAGAACTAAGCTTTTTTTTTTTTTTTAACATATTCTCTTTGAACGTTATGAAAGCCAAAGTTGTCTAAAATGAGACCGACTGCTTTCTTAGACTCTATTATGTTGGCCTAATTACATATCAGGAAAATGTTTTTCTGGGGCATTGTGTGTAAAACAAAGAGGAAAACAACATCTCCAGCCGGCCCCAGAGTCCTTGCCCCTCCCTCTGGCTGGCAGGGGCTGCATCCCGCAGGAGGCCCCGGGGAGGAGGGAAGATGAGGGCCTGGGAGGCAGGGCTGCTGCAGCCCCAGCTGGCCTCAGAGAGATTTGCCCAGAGAAAGCAAAGGGGCAAGTCTTTCCTTCCTCTGTCCTTCCCTCCAGCACATGGTGGCTTCCATCTGGTGGCGGAACCGTGTTTGTCTCCTCACAGCCCCCAGATCAGGATCTCCTGCTGCAGGAGAAGAGACTTCCTAAGATGTCCTGGCCATGGTCTCCCAAGACCTCGCTGTCAGCTGCAGAAATAGTCCCTCGGGCTTCGGGTTTCTTGCCCTCTTGTGACATTTGATGGTGTGAATCTTTCTCCTTAGACCTGTTTCCCACCCTGACTACTCAAGGGCTGATTTCTGTCCTTCCAGTCTGTGTTTTCTTTATTCTTCCCTCACCTCCTTGCCAGGACCTCCCTGAGCCTCCTTAGCCAAACTCAAGGCTCCTTGAGTTTGCGGCTACTGAGTGTGGGCTCTCCCCTCCAACTCTTTATTTTCATCCTACCTGTCCCTGTCTTTACCTGTGTATTAGGTTCCTATTGCTGCTGTGGGCTTCAAACAATGGGGATTTATTCTCATTTTTTGGAGGTCAGGAATCCAAAATGGGTTTTAAGGGATTGAAATCAAGGTGGTGGCAGAGCTGCATTTTTTCTGGAGACCGTGGGAGGGAATCTGTTCCCTGACTTTTCAACTTGGAGAGACCGTCCTGCTTGGGGCCAGTCACTCTGACCTGTGCTTCCATCCTCATACCTCCTTCCCTGACTGACTGACCCCTCTCCCCGACACCCCACCACCTGCTTCTCTCTTCAGAGGACCCTTTTGATGACATTGAGCCCGCCTGGATAATCTCTCCTTCTCAAGATCCTTAACTTCATCACATTTGCCAAATCTTGCTTATCATGAAAGATGACATGTGCCCAGGGTCCAGGGATTGAGGCATAGACATATTTGTGGGAGTGGGTGAACATATTCTTTCTGCCGTAGGTCCCATCTCATCTAGCTGCCTCCTGGACAATGTTCCTTGAACTCAGCATGTCTAAAATGGAATTCACTCCCGCATTGTCTTCCTTGTCCTGGTCGCCTTTGTTCAACACATGATCAGTCAGTACCCAGGCCCCCAATCATCATGTGCATAAAACATAATTTAATTTAGCAAGCCTGATATTGATGGACACTTGGGTAATCTTTAGTGTTTTTGCTATTGCAATCAGTTCTCCAGTGAATAACTTTGTACATTTGTCATTATGTATATATATATATATAAATACAGATCAGTTCCCAGAAGTGAGATTGTTGTGTCAAAGGGTAAATGTATCTACAATTTTGAGAGATACTGTCAGATTGTTCTCTATGAGGTTGAACCAATTTGCCTTCCTGCCAGCAGTGTCTGAGAATGCTCACTTCCCCACAGCCTTGTCAACAACGTGACTGTCAAACTTCTGGGTTTTTCCCAATATGATAGGTAGAAATTCGTATCTCAGTAGTTTTAGTTTGCATTTCTCGTACTATGGGATATGGTGTTTTTCTTTTTATGTGCCTAATGGCCATCTGAATTTCCTTTTTTGTGATTCTCTTCCTGTTTGTGTCCATTTTAAAACTTGGATTATTGGATTTTTTTTAAATCAAATTTTAGGAGCTCTTCCCTTTTCATCTGTAATATGAGCTACAAATGTTTTCCCATCTTGTCTTTTGTCTTTTGACTTTACACAGCTTGTCTTTTGTCTTGCAGGAGACACCATATTTATTATTTTTTATGTCACCAAATTTATTATTTTTACTTTATGGTTTCCAGACTCTAAGTTAGTCAGAAAGGGCTTCCAGTTGGTTCATTAAAATTAAAATAATAAAGCTGTGTTCAGTGTGGGGAGTTGGACACAGGCATCTATTTCTTCTGAAAAATCCCAGTGAAATGATACAAAAGGAATGATAGGTAGGAGGTAGGCATGGAGATAGATGCTACAGTCAATTCTCATTATTCATGGATTCTATATTTCCAAATCCTACTTGCTTAAATTTATTTGTAATCCCCAAATCTGTCCTCTTGTTGTTTTCACCATTACTTGCAGGCATATGCAGAGTGGCAAAAAATTTGAGTTGCCGACATTCATATTCCCGATTAAGGAGATGCTCTGCCTTTCTGTTTTAGCTTTCATACTATAAACAAGTGTCCTGTTTGCAGTCTACTTAGTGCCACACTTTTCACATTTTTGTGACTTTCATTGTTGATTTTGCTATTTAAAGTGGCTCCAGGTCTCATGCTGAAGTGCTGTCTGGTATTTCTAGGCATAAGAAGGCTACAGTGTGCCTTACAGAGCAAAGATACGTGTTAGGTAAGTTTTATTCAGGCTTGAGTTCTAGTGCTGTTGGCTGTGTGTTCAAAAGTTAGTGAATCAACAAAATATATTTTGAAAGGTGTCTTTAAACAAAAATGCACACAAAACAAGGTTCTGATTGATCAGGTGATGAAGATGCTGTCATCAGAAGTTCAAAGAAACCTAACCCTGTATTTCCCCTACAGCATTGGCTCCAAGTGTTCAGTAATTCTTGTGGCAACATTATAGAACATAATTCCCATGAATAATGAAAACTGACTGTAGGTAGATAGATAGGCAGGCAGGCAGATAGATAGACAGGTAAGGTATCCACAAAAACAAAAAGATTAGAAGAGAAAGTAGAAAAGAGGAATGATTTTAACACAGTTTTAGAAAAGGAAAGTAAATAGCGGATGCTAATTGGCTTAGCAAAGTACAGGAAGCTGTCACCTAACAGACAAGGAGCCATGTGAGAAAATGAGAAAAGCTCTGGTTTTCAAAGCAAAAATGACCATGGGATGGTGGGAAGTGAACTGCAAAGCTGACAACCGGGGCATTGGTTTAAAGTTTTTATGTATTGTGGTAAGAGTCCTACCTCCCGTCTCTGCAGCTTTTGGGTCTTAAAAATAAGGCTGCAGAAAATTTAAAAAGGTAACAAAAAGGCTAAAAGAGAAAGGAAATCTTTCAGAAGGAAAATAAAAAGAGTAAGAAAATGGGGAGGGGTAATAACATGGAAATATCAGCCCTCCATTTTGACTTATAGAAGATCCAGAAAGAGAGAAAATGGAGAAAAGGAAAACTCTCAAGAGAAAATAAAAGAACACTTTTCAGAACTGAAGGACAAGAATCCTCAGATGGTGAGGTCATCAAGCATATGACCCACACCAAGGCACATTGTGAAATTCTGACACCTCATGGGGAAAAATATCCTAAAAGCTTACAAAGCTCATGAGGTTGTAAAGTATTAGCAATCAAAATATATATCTCCGTAGCAGTGTGGATCTCTAGAAGCCAGTGGAGAAGTACTTGAAAAATCTCAAAGGAAAAGTAGGTTTCAGCCCAGATTTCTGTACCCAAACTGTTAGTTAAGGGTGAGAACAACGACACTTTTATGAAAGCGCAGATTCAAGTGACTTACAGGGCATTTGTTTCCCGGGGAGCCATGGGAGGACGCACTATAGCAATATGTAGAGGAAACCAAGAAAGAGAAAACACCAGCCTTAGATAGCAGTGGGAGAAGAACCCAGCCATGGAAAGCGGCCAGACCAGGATTGGAGAAAGAGTGCAGAGAGCTCCAGAAGTGATGTCTCCAGTGGAGGAGGGAAACAAACAAACAAACAAAAAAAACAGAACTAATGTATTTAGGCA